GGAATGGAGCTTTCTCGTTTGCATCAAACAACTTTCCAAATGCGCCAGCACCTTCGGGTTTTGTTTTCGACCATGCATTCTTTGATAAAAATTTTGCCCATCTTTTTAGATTCACCATATATATATATATATATATATATAATTGCTTTTCATTTTAACTGATTACATTATGATAAATTGTTATAATTTTGTAAGATATATAACTTTTTAATTCAAATTAAATTAAAGCGAAGATTTTTCTTATACTAAACTTTCTTATTCGTTCCTATAGGTCCGTCCTTCAAAGAAGTTAGATCTGCAATCCCTTCAATGGGCTTTTTCCAACAAGACAAAATCAGTAGTGTGGATGAGTAGCCATTGTCCAACACATGGAGGTCGTGATGACTATGTCCAGGAACTCCGCAAATATATCGATGTTGACGTCTTCGGTAAGTGCGGAGACTCAGTGTGTCCTCCCGGCAAAACAGAGAGCTGTCTGCAAGACTTCTCTTCAAAGTACAAATTTTTCTTGGCTTTCGAGAACACTATTTGCAAGGACTACGTGACTGAGAAGTTTTTCAGGACTATGGAATACAATATGATTCCCGTCGTCTTTGGCGGTGCTCCGTACTCGAAGTTGGCGCCACCTGCTTCTTTCATAGATGCTTTGAGCTTCAAATCGCCGAAACATTTGGCATTCTTCTTGGCTGGTGTTGGCAAAGATTTTAAAATATGGAGCACTTATTTTCGATGGCGACAAGATTATGCTATTGATATGAAGAATCATAGAGAATGCGATTTATGTTCACTTCTGCACAAAAACACAAAGCCATCGTCATATGAAAACTTTCGAGAATGGTGGGTGAAAAGCGCCAACTGCAAAACGTGGGAGCCAAAAAGTTGAGTGAATAAAACAAAGCATCTATAATTCCATGGAGCATATCTCAAGCTAATGTTTTTTTGTGTGATACTTTAGCCAGTGTTAGTACTAAATTTATGCTAACATTTGCTAACCTTTTAAACTACCTCCAAAAATAATTTTTTTTATTACTTTTCAATTCGTTTTATACACCGTTGCAAGTTTAGAAAAGACCATTACCGAAAAGAATTTAAGTAATCATCCGCGATTGCATATAGTTCCCTTTTTATATAGTTATCAAGTTATATAATTATGCTTTCAAAACAAAAGCTTTTAAAAGTTAACTTGAATTCGTTCTATTTTTTATAAGCAAAAGGAAGGCCGTGCTAAGTAGTTTTAAAAGTTGTCTATGGCGATATTCGTTCGCACTTGGAGCTTGATATTTGTTAAGCATGCACTCTATTTAGCGTGTAAACAGGCTCTCAATAGAGATAATGGTTTTTCGTCAACTTGCAACAGAATATAATAGGTATAATGTAAGACATAAAACAAAAATTTATTTTAACTTTTAATTTCCTATTTTAAAACAGAAACAAAAATTAGATTTGAAGCAAATAATTCGTCAAAAAACTTAAATTAAAATTGAAAATTACTTACCAAACAAATAACGATTACTATTTATACTTTACTTTTTATTCCATACTATTACTTAATAATGTCTTTTACGTGTTTTATTAATGTCTATGCATCAGTATATAGTTTCTTCTTTTACGACCTCTCATTTCGTATTAAATATGTACTGTAGTTCAGTTTTTAACTATTTTAGTTCTAAAAACTGAGAATTTGCTAACTTAATCATTTGTAATGCAACCACTAGAAAACGAATTTACATAAAACAATTTTTTCTATCATCTGATTCAAATTTGATATAGATGTCACAAATTATTTATTTTATTCATATTTTTTAATGATTAATTTATTTTAAAGGTTTCATCTTGTTATACTATTAATAAGTTTTAGCCTTAATTCCTTAAAATGAGCTATACGGTACTTTATATATATATATGTAAATAAATCATTACTTTACGTCTAGTTTTGTGTTTTTATCCTTTTCAATTTACTTGCATGATGCTTTCCGATAAAATTATAAAATTTGAGCTTAATCATGATGAAACCTCAGTAAACATATGGGACGTAAGTTTATCTGTACCAAAGAAGAAAAAAAGTGGTAAAAATTTCTTTCAATCTTGTTTTGGGGAAAAGTGGAAAATGTTGCCGCAAACTGGGAAATGTAGTCCCTATAGTTTCGGCAGGAGAGCGTTTCAAAGTTTGCTTATTGCCTTTCTTTCTTTCTTTTTTTTTTTCTGCTTGCATATTTCGCCATATTTCGTAAACTTTTAAAGCGAATTGAAAAATCTTTGCACTCAATTATAAAATCAGTTTATTCAAAGATGTCAAAAATAAATTTTAACGAATTTCGTTTTTATTATTTTATTAAGTAATGGTCGAAAAATTTTGATCTGTAAGGTATACAATTTTTACATCATTTTAAAGTACAATATTTTGTATGGAAAAAATACAAAATTTGAGCGAAATTGGTTGACCGATTCCTGAGAAATTGAATTTTAAATATACGACTTCTTTAAAATTTGATTTTTTATTCAACAGAATTCGCTCAAATTTTGTCATGTAAAAATACGTACTTCAAAATGACCTTACAATTAAAAAAATTTTCAACGATTATCTTATAAAATAATGAAAAAATAGAGATTTACTAGAAATAATTTTTGCCTGGAATTATTTTTGGATAAACGAATTATTTAACTGTGAGAAAAAAAATTCTTCAATTCGCTTAAAACGTTTTCTAAATATGGCGGAATACGCAAAATGTAAACTTATCATTAAGAGGTCCTAATGTTAATGTGGATCGCTCTCCTGAACAAACTCTGGGGACCATATTTCCCAGATTGCGGCTACCTTCTATCCAATGACAGTTCCATGCAAAATATAACTTTAAGTACATATTTATTATTTTATTTAATAATAGTCAAAATAATTTAAACTGTAAGTATGCAAATTTTTACATCATTTTAAATAATTCAATTTTGATAGGCAAAATGCAAAATTTGAGTGAAATCGGTTGAATAGTTCTTGAGAAATCGAATTCTTAAAAAGTCGTGTACACCGATACCGTATATTTTCTTTTTCATATAATTTCGTGGTTTCACTCTTTCGTGGTTTCCCTCTCCATGTAACGCAAATGTAGGTTAGTTCCTTCAAAAACTCCACGATGGCAAATTTCTCCCTCTATTTCATTCAGGAGTTCCTTTGTCTTCTGAATTGGATTCAAAATTACAAGGCTACGGAATTGAACATTCGTAGTCGTAAACCCAAAATAATGGGTCAGCTGTTCAACGACGGTTATAAAATAAAATATATTTGGCTATTGCATCTATCGAACGTCGGCTTGAACTTGTATGTTACTTGTAAACTTGTCTGGACAACTCGATATATCCGTTTAAAACATATAATTACTTAATACATCTGCTATAATTATATAGGGCCGGAACAGCCTGGTTGTTAAGATGTTGGAGTTCGAATCGTGTTCGTGAGTTCGAATTCCTTTGGCTGAAGAATTTCCATGAATTGAATGGTGACTGGTGCACGTTAAATTTGTCGAGGTTACAAAGTCCTCCAAGCTCCCATAACTAATCTATACTTCTGGTGGTACAGAAATAGAGATTGATCTTTCTCTGGTTCAGGTCAAAATCAGGTCCTTGAATTAACGAATGAAGTATGAATGTGTCCACATAGTTAATCAGGCTGTGACGCGTGTGAGGCTTAAGTCGTATTCTTGACCATAGATGGCGCCACTGAAAAACAAAAAACGCACCCTCTACCTTAAAAATTCGCTAAAATTTCCCATTGCAGGTTTGTTGGTATTGGTAAGTAACACAAGTAATAACAGCAAAAAATTGTTTATACTGTTTATAAATCTTACTTATTGAAATATTAATACATACATTAGATATTAATGCACTACGAACAAAAAAACACTAAGAAAAATATTTTTTGAAATTATTCAGAAATTATTATTCAAATTCCGCAGTTATGCCCAATAAGTAAATTAATGTTGAGTGTGAAAAAAAACGAAAATTTCCTTGACTTATGGTGTCAAATTTCTTAAAAAAATCATTTATGACATTTTAAAAAGTTACGGCAAAAATTTTTATAAATTCTATTTCAGAACTACCGATTTTCTTGTCTTTTTGGAAAAATTTCTTCTAGTGGTAGCTAAGTTTACTTTTAATGAGTGATTTACTTTAAAGATGTGATTCTAATGAGTGAAATTTAACTTAAAATTATTTTTCACACCACAACATGTAATTGATTCAAAAGCATGTATGAAATACCACTTTCTTACAGCTCTCTTTGTGAGGTTTTCAAAATGTTGGAAAAATAACCAAAAATTCTTAAAGCTTTAGTTTTTAATAGTCAACTGCTCTGTAAAATATTTTTTAAAAAACATAGTAGTTGGCAGGCTGGAATTTATGTTATTGTTGCATTTAGTATAAGACTGAACGTTGAAGCCATACATAAACAGTGATGGGATGAAAATCAGCTGTATTAAAATTAATCCGTTTGATCCTTTTCACATTAACCCTTTGCACTCCGATGTCACCCCCGAAGTGCCATCAACAGCCACCACCTTTAAAATTAATAACCACATTATTTTAAGAATTTATTAAAAATCACATAAAAATATTGTATTATGTATTCTAAATGACTTGTAACTATTATGTATTGCGATTCTATTATGTATTCTAAAATGCTTATGTTCTAACAGCATTTTCGGTGTGCATTACCAACGCCTCCTGTAACTGAAAGCCTCCACACGGTAGTCCGATTAGACCATTATGAGGGTACATATGTTAACTAACGAAGCATTAAATGAAAAATCTAGTAAAAGTAAGATAGTGGTAGCAAATATATGTAATTTTTTTTTTCAATTTTTGAATATGATTGGTTTGTCTTAATTATTTGTCAACCACTACATATGTAATTTTCAAATATATATGATAAATTTCTCAACTATNAACGAGAAACTCATATTTAACAATTTAGATTTCTGCACTTAAGAGCTACGTAAAATACTTCAGGTATTTCATAATTGTATACGTAGAAAATTAATTTATCTTTTTTTTTACGCTAATACTTATATGAAAAATAGTCATGAATAGTCTTATCACTACTTTCTCAAATATATATAATACATTTCTCTGAATTACTTTTAAAATAGAATTTGGTTTCATGCGCACAACTGGTTAACTTTTTAAATAGTCTGCGCAGACTACTTATAAAAAAAAACCGTGGGGAGACTTTCTGATGTAGGAGGTAATGGCATTACTCGGAGTGCAAAGGGTTAAACAGATTAAAAAAAGGAATTTTAGGGTAAACGTAGAATAATATCTAATTGTAAAATTAAATATCTATTTTCTATAGTTATCCACCAAATCATTTCTAAAAGTTTCAACTTCTTATTGTTCCGGATACACCTAAATCATTGCTCAAGTATTGCAGGTTAGAAACTTTTAATTCTTCTAAACAAATGATTACAATGAAACAAACTCTTCTACCACGATGTTTTCGAAGAAAGAAATTGTCCTGGATATTTGATGCTTGGCGCTAACCCAACGTCACCTATAACTGAAAGCCTCCACTCGGAATTTTTTGCAGGTAGTCCGATCAGACCACCATGTAGGTAAACAAGTTTACGAAAGAAGCATTTAATAGAAAATCTAGTAAAAATGAAATAGTGCTAACAAATATATGTCTAAAAATTTGTTAATTTTTTTAATATGATTGGTTTGTATTATTTACTTGCTAATTACTACCGATTCAACTATCAAATATATATGATAAATTTCTCTGAATTACTTTTAAAATGGAATTTGGGTTCATGCGCACAACTGGTTTACTTTTTAGATAGTCTGCGCAGACTACTTATAAAATACCGTGTGGGTCTGATGTAAGAGGTGATGTCTAACCGGATAAAACAGCATTGCTCTCAAAACTTGATAGCTATTTTGCTCTCACTTTGTTCAATAATTCAATTACTACCACTTAAAAAAAATGAAGAGCAAAAATTATAAGCTAAGATAGAAATTTTTATCGTGTAGGGCCCTCCCTGGACGAGCGGTATTGCCCGCCAAACGCAGTGTAAAGCGTGGAGGTCGCAGGTTCAAATCCCGTCGTAACCCTGGATATATTCTTTGTGATGTCCTTCTCTAAATTGTTCTATCTGTCCTTCTACTTGACAAAGGTTTATAAGCCTANACTTATAAAAAAAAACCGTGGGGAGACTTTCTGATGTAGGAGGTAATGGCATTACTCGGAGTGCAAAGGGTTAAACAGATTAAAAAAAGGAATTTTAGGGTAAACGTAGAATAATATCTAATTCTAAAATTAAATATCTATTTTCTATAGTTATCCACCAAATCATTTCTAAAAGTTTCAACTTCTTATTGTTCCGGATACACCTAAATCATTGCTCAAGTATTGCAGGTTAGAAACTTTTAATTCTTCTAAACAAATGATTACAATGAAACAAACTCTTCTACCACGATGTTTTCGAAGAAAGAAATTGTCCTGGATATTTGATGCTTGGCGCTAACCCAACGTCACCTATAACTGAAAGCCTCCACTCGGAATTTTTGCAGGTAGTCCGATCAGACCACCATGTAGGTAAACAAGTTTACGAAAGAAGCATTTAATAGAAAATCTAGTAAAAATGAAATAGTGCTAACAAATATATGTCTAAAAATTTGTTTATATTTTTAATATGATTGGTTTGTATTATTTACTTGTTAATTACTACAGATTCAACTAACAAATATATATGATAAATTTCTCGGAATTACTTTTAAAATGAAATTTGGGTTCATGCGCACAACTGGTTAACTTTTTAGATAGTCTGCGCAGACTACTTATAAAATACCGTGTGGGGGCTTTCTGATGTAAGAGGTGTTGGCTAACCGGATAAAAACGCATTGCTCTCAAAACTTGATAGCTATTTTGCTTTCACCTGATTC